ACTAAGGACTTCAATTAATCATTTTGAAAACTAATAAGTAAAAATTATTTTTTAAGTAAACACACTAGTGAATATGAAAGCAATACTGCAAGCTGACACTTCAACTGATACTACACCTTCTCCTGAAGGTAACAGGTGGGGCTGGTAAGGAAAATGTTGCAAAGGCCCCGCCCCATCTTAAATTATTCAAAAACCAAAACAGATATCAAAAAAGCAGTAATTGTGTCATTGGGTTCAAAAAGAATTAAACATCCATTTACTTTAGCAACAGTGTCTATTATGTGTCAGGTTCCCTCCCAGGAGTCAGGGAACTGGTAATCAACAAAACAAAGTCCCTATCCTTGGGCAATTTATATTCGATCTAATGATAACAACCCTAGTCTCCAAAAAAAAAAAAAAAAAAGCTCAATAGTATCTGTTACTTGAAAATCCTGACCCTCCAGGAGAGAAATGAAGTCTACAAAATGTTTGTTGTTGTTTGTTTTAGCAGCTGGTCAGTTCAGGGATATGAACCTATGACCTTGGTGTTATAAGGCTGCGCTTTAACCAACTGAGCAACTGGCCAGCCCTAACCAAAATATTTTACTAGAGGGTTACTGAAACTTCTAAAATATGAAATGCTCACATTATTCCAATGAAATGTTTATACTGTGTTATGAATAAGTTTAAAACCATAATTTCTGTATCTTTTAATTAACACTGACAAAGGACTTTCTTAATTGGAAGCCAATAAGCATTCTTCAATACAGGAACTATATGAATTTCTCCCTATTCTCCTACAAAACTACACTAGAATGACAGTTAAACTCAAAGTCTTATAAACCCACAAGGAAGAGTGAACCAGAAAGGAGATAATATCAGACTAAGGTAGGTCACAATATCTTACATGAAAAAAAAAAGAAAAGAAACATCAGGCACTTGGTCTAAAATCTCAAAAGAAACCATCAATTAGAATTATTTACATTAAATTTAACAAAAGTTTGTCCTCTATTTTTTAAAACCAACCTTGTGTGTAAATCTACCTTGTGTGCAAATGAGCTAAAGCAGAGATCAGCAAGCTGTGGCCTGGTGTGGCCCAAATCCAGCCTGCTCCTGTTTCTGCAATACCCACTAGAGAAGAATGGTATTTAGAGTTTTTAATGATGGGGGGCGGGATTGAAAAGAAGAATGTATTTCATGATACGTAAAAAATCATGCGAAATTCAAATCTCAGTATCCATAAATAAAGTTTTATTGAAACACAGCCTTGCTTATTAATTTTTGCATCTATGGCTGCTTTCCAGTGACGGCCAAGCTGAATAGTCACCACAGACTTTACAGCCTGAAAAACCTAAGATATTCACTATCTGGCCCCTTTCAGAAAAAGGTTGTTCACTTCTGAGTTGAAGGACTAATTCTGAATTTCACTTGAATTTTACTTCTAATTACTGAACCAAATTCATATATAAAAGTGTACACATAAGCCCATGAATCAAGGGTTGTTTTGAGTAAGGAACTTTAGGGAAGGTCCATACAACTCTTGAAATAGAAAAGTCCAGAGGGATTTAATGCTTTGCTTAGGGTCACTACGGTAAATGGGAACACTACTGACAATGGGATGGTTGCTCTATCAGATAAGCATTTGCCACCAAAGTTGCCACCTTAATATGCCCGTGTTCCTATACCACTCTTCAACTTTATATTATTAAATCACTTATTTCATTTTAGTTAAAATGTCACTAAAGCATTCCTGTTAGTTTGACCTCCCCAAATATTTAGAACAGATTTCTGTTGATAATTACTTATGACCACGCCAACACAGCAGTACACAATACTGGTTAAGGACAGAGTCTCTGATGTCAGGGAGACCCAGCTTCTGACTCTGTCCCCAAGGATCACTCTGGCCTTGTAATCCTCTGAACTTTCCTAAACTTCACTTTCCTCACCTCTAAAGGTAAAATGTAGTACCTGCTCCAGACAAGGACATTTAAACTGGATGTGACGAAGGATGTCAAGAACTTAAGATACTGACTGTCATAGAATTAATAACTCAAGAAAAGTTACCTATCATACTTTGTCTTAACCATTCACTATCCTTGAAGAGCTTCACAGGCAACTTTCTCAAATTTTAGTGTGCTCAAGAATCACACTGGCGAACTTGTCAGTGCAGATTCCCTTGGCCCTACCCTCAGATACTAATTCCCCTATAGGCAGGAGGCAGGAATCTGTACTTGCAAAGCTTATGCATGATTTGGATGCAGGCAGTGCATGGAATGGAAACAGTGTCCCTAAACAATGAAATAGCGAGAGGTTAAGAGACAAGCCAAAAACCTGAATAGTCACAGCTTTAAGTAGCCTACCATTATCAAAAATAGCAAGGAGCTGAGTACCACTCACTCCTTTTGCTGTTTTTCCTTCTACAACTGTCTTTTTTTTTTTTAACTTACACTTCTGTTGAGCTCCATATTAATTACTGTTGTGTGCAATATGAAGATTATTTCCCAGTCCATAAAGGTTAGGACTTCCAGTGATATGTCTAAACACTGAA